AATCAATAAAATAGAAAATAAAATAAAAAACCCAGGTTCCTGATCACCAGCCCCACACTCTGCTCAGGACTTATCTACACGGAGTTCTGTGGAAGGGTGTGTTCAACCTAAGGATCCACGAAGGCCCTTTCCCAGCAAATAAAAAGGACAGGCTGACCTGTACCTGCTTGCTCATGTACTCACACCCCCCAAACCTACGTGTGTTCAGAATCAATAGCGCTGGAATAACAAGTCCACACCAGGGTCACTGAAGGCAGAGGCGGCCAAAGCAGCAAGGGCCAGGAAGAACCTCACCACCCCACCCCGCACCACCACCACCACCACCTCTGTGTATCAGGAAAATCCCTTTTATTTGCAGCCTCAAGGCTATTCTGCACCAGCCCACCCAAGGCCGGCAGGCAGGATGGGTGTGATCCAGGGGCTGCCTCAGGATCCTCAGGTGTTGGTTTTTAAACGGGCAGGTGAGTCTTTTATACATCACTCTGGGCCACAGCTCACCCATCTGCTAACACTTTCGTCTTTGCGTAGCCCCATCCACAACCCCGTTCACTTGGCGCTTTAAACGTTTGAAGAAGCCATCAACATTTTCTAAACATGTACCCAGGTTAGGTTATGACGTGGCCTTAAAAAAAAAAAAAAGTCTATGTAAATTAAGCCATTCCACACTAAGAGAACTTGGCAGACAGTCTGTCACCATTACACAAACCTGTCTTATCCTCTGTGCAAACCCATCATTCACTTTTTAAATAAAACAAATTTTAAATGACACGTTGGCAAAAAAGAGGAAACATTTGGCTTCCAAACAGAGTTGGCCATCACCTGACGCCAGCAGCCTAATCCTTTCCCCCAGAGGTGGAGTCCCCGGTCTCCCGGTGTCCCAGTCTCCTGGGGCTCAGGGTGGTGCTTACCTTCCCAGCTCCTCCTCCTCGCTGCTCTCTCACCAGTGAAGCAGTGAAGACGATGCCCTCTCCTCTGGCTGCCTGGCTGCCCTGGGCTCCCCAAGCCTGAGACTCAGCTCAGCTCCCGGGAGGTTAATTACACACCTGGCCACGCCCCTCCCAGAGGCAGGCGGTGCCACAGGCGGCTGCCACTTGCCCACAGGAGCGGCAGCAGTCTCAGCTCTCCAGTGCGAGAAAGGGCTAAAGGGCTGTCACGGGCCCACAATCACGGGAACTTAGGGGATTTCTTGCCCCAGACTGTAGGAAGTGGGTTCCTTGTCACTAAGGCAGGGAAAACTGCTCTGCCAGGGCAGCTTTCTGTTCCAAAGGAGAAACCAGGTAATAGTTATAAAGCCCCGTGAGAAGAATTTCTTGACATTTTTAGTAGCCTTAAGGTGGCGCTCCATTTCCCCCCAGAAAGATAAATTAAATGCAGCCACTTCCCATGAGGATGAATGCATTTAACAAAACAAAACAAAACAAAATTCGGAAAAAGAAATCTTCCTTATGGGATGTGGTTTGAAGAATTCTACTGAAAACCCCCAATCTTGATATACTTTCTCCCAGCAAGTTGCTTGGAATTCTGACTAGTAGGGATTACGAGTTTTGCCTGAAACTTTGATTTTCCCGATTGTCCCAAACGGTAATTACATTTATCTAACATTTCAGAAAACTCTCAGATGCGCTATCTTGCTGGAACCAGGGAGAGACATAACTCATTAAGCAATCTTGTCTATTAACATTAAAACTTTAATTAGTTTTCCAAAATGAGTAGTAAGTAAAGCGTTGAGGCTATTACACCCCAGGAACTGGGCACGTTTGGATTGGTGGAGAGATGGGAAGCCACAAGGTGGCCAGATGTCCGAGGCCGTGGGCACCGCTGCACCCACACAGGTGCTGAGGGGAGGGGCAGACAAGAACAGAAGCCACAAGAACAAACTTCACCCACTCACGCTTCTGCCCCGTGTTGAGATCTGGAAGTCACTTTGAAAAGACCCTGTCGTGCCCCACAGACTCATCCCGATGCTGAGAACTCAGGCTAGTTCCTGAAAGAGCAGCTTGGCTGTCCGCCAGAGCAGAGCGCCCGGTGTGTCAGCCACGGTTCTTATTAGTAATTATGATCCTCTGGCTGACACCAGGTATTATGTGGGGAACAAAAGGAAGCTTTAGTTTTGAAACATCCCTCCTCACCACCCCTCCTCATGCGCTAGCACAACCCTTAAATAATGCACCTCTGCGGCTCTGAGTAATGCCTCCTGTTGACCGGCCCAGAGCATGTCTGGGTTCCAAGAATGTGCTTGAAACACACGGAATACCTTATCCTAGCTAGAGCTGGAAGTGTGGTTCTGAGGACCCAGAAGCGATGGCCTCAGGGGTCCTTCTTCCTCTGAGGTCCTGTTTGCTGTCCTCCCTGGGCCCTGGGATGTGTGGTCCAGTGGGTAGTGACCCCTCCTCTCTCTGGGCCTCACTATCCTCACCTGTGAAGGGAGGGGTTTGGGTTTTACATCAGAATCACTTGGAGAGTTTCAAATATACAATGTCAGGCTACACACCCAGGGGTTCTGATTTCATTGGTTGCCGTGGGACCCAGTCCTAGGTTCAAAACTGAGTTAAATGATCCCTGGGACCCTCCAAGTTCTACAAAAAATCCACAATTCTGGTGGTCTGCTCCTCTACTTTATTTACTGAATTAATATCTTCCAGGTATACTCATTTTTTTTTCCAGTATGTTGCATAGGATGATTTTTAGAGAGGCTTTTAATGATTAAAAAAAGGCCTGTTGCCTGGCTGGCATTAGCTCAGTGGTTGAGCGTTGACCTATGAATTAGGAGGTCATGGTTAGATTCCAGTCAAGGGCACCTGCCCAGGTTTTGGGCTCGATCCCCAGTCAGAGGCTTGCCAGAGACAGCCAGTCAATGATTCTCTCTCATCATTGATGTTTCTATCTCGTTCTCCCTCTCCCTCCTGCTGAAATCAATAAAAATATATTTTTAAAAATAAAAAAAAATTGTTTAAAAAAAGATCTATTGCTCAAGAATTGTTTGTTGGGGTGTAATTGGCATATAATGCTGCAGTGTCTACAGCGTACAACCTGATAAATTTTCACTTATAAGAAATGGTTATCAGCCGGGACCGGTTTGGCTCAATGGATAGGGTGTCGGCTTGGGGACTGAAGGGCCCCGGGTTCGATTCCGGTCAAGGGCATGTACCTTGGTTGCGGGCATATCCCCAGTAGGGGGTGTGCAAGAGGCAGTTGATCAATGACTCTCTCATTGATGTTTCTAACTCCTCTCTCTCTCCCTTCCTCTCTGTACAAAAATCAATAACATATATTTTTAAAAAAATAAGAAGAAATGGTTATCACAATCACAATAGCGAACATATTCACCATCCCCAAATTTCCCCGTGCCCTTGGGAACCCTGCCACCCTCTTCCTCCTGCTCCCCTTCCCCAGGTAACCACTCATCTGCTTTGTGTTACTATCAATTAGTTTGCATTTTCTATCAATGAAAGCACATAATGCTTTCATTTTTTTGCCTGGCCTCTAATCATTTTGTTTTTGACTTTAGACGTCAGCTCTCGGAGAGCAGGCGCTACCTTTCATTGGTGTCCTCTTCCTCCTTGGCCCCCAACTTATCTTTGCTCAGAGAAGCCCCTTAATCATAAGTTGCTTGACTGAAATCAGACCTTTATGACCTTCTAACCGAGCTTCAATTTGGTTAAGAAGTGCCTGCTAGATAGGTGAAGGGTCTCAAATCAGCAGCTTCAGCTGAGTTAAAAAAAAAAAAAAAAAAAAAAAAAAAAAAAGGCTTGGTTTCAACTATGGAATTTAGGGTTTGGACTTCCAACAGTCCAGAAAATGAACAATGAACATCATGGTGTGTACTGGGAACAAGGGGATGGGGTGGGGAAACACCTTCAAAAGGTTCTTGGCTTTCACCAGATTCTTTTTTTTTTTTTCTTTTAATATATATTTATTGATTTTTTTTTTTTTACAGAGATAGATGAGAGAGAATCATCGATCAACTGCCCCTTGCACAACCCCTACTGGGAATGTGCCCGAAACCAAGGTACATGCCCTTGACCAGAATCGAACCCGGGACCTTTCAGTCGGCAGGCTGACGCTCTATCCACTGAGCCAAATCAGTTTTGGCTCACCAGATTCTTAATCTTAGTTACAGCTTCTTGACCCAAGGCAGGAACTATGGAATTAATGACATCTTATTGTATTTCTATATGCATTTTGTGACTATGATGTCTAATTATAAATCCTCTAACATCCGCTCCCCCTCCCTCCCTTCCCTCCTTCCCTGTACTTTTATTTTGTTCTCTGCCTGCTCTGGTTATCCCAACCCTGCTTAACTAAATACATTACAGACCTCGTCGACTGAAGTGCTACTTCATGGAAACTTTGTGCATTCCTCTTCTCCCCTAAGCTCTGTCTCCCCTAAGCTCTGTGGTATGTTGTGCCCTTTCCCCACAATAATGCTTGTTCCACTTTACTTAACAGTTTACCTGGATACCATTGTGCTCAAATATCACAAACGCACATTTTCTCAAAACCCCGGTTCATGGGGTTCCTTTTCATCCCAAACAAGATCAATATTCCCATTTTCATAACTGGTAAGTATTATGAGAACCAGAAGTAACAAGAAACAGCACTGCAAATTTACAGTCGAGCCACCTCTACTCAAACCAGAGATACCTTTCCTTCTCCGCTACTCTGAACACAAAAAAATATTTTCAAATGATGTGATGTCTAATTTTAAACTGATAGGTAGCACAGCAATATTGGCTTTACATGATAAACTCATGTGTAACTGAGCAGGAGAGAGTGAGAAAAACATCTCACCTACTGGCCAAAAGGCCAACATAGCCAGCCCCTTGCTCTAAAATTCACCTCAACTTACATCCCTCAGCTTCTCTGGCTCCCTGCTTGGGACCAGCTCTTAATTTTTGTTCTCCCTTACACCTCCACCTTTCCCAGCAGAATAGCAAATACGGTACCTGGAGCATTTCAGTCGCTTCTACACAAAAGGCAGACCTCTGAAAGTTACTTACGTGGACGTGGCGAAGGCTGGGTTTGGGAAGCTGAGTTTTCTGATGCTGGGCTGCTTAAATAGCTGAGCTGCCCGACAAGGGCAGTTGACAGCACGTTATTTACGCCCGTGAGTTCACTCTCAAGCAAGGACCTGAAAAGCCTGCAGCGTGGGCAGGAGGAAAACAACTGCAAGTATGCCGAGGTTACATCTCTCTGGTTATTCAGGTTCGATAGTCAGCCGATGACTTCTGAGAGTGTCATGGGACGTTCTCAGCACGGCTGACTTCTTGTTCCTGAGCTGCTCGCGAGCCAAGCAAGATTCTGCACCAAGATTGGATGAGGGAGATGCAGCCAAGAGAAGGAAGACACTCAGGACCCTGGAGCCTTGAGCCAAATTCCTTACTTTGAATGGGCTTCCAGTGAGATGTTTTCTCATTTCAAAGCATAGGCTTGGTGAGGCCGATTTCACAGATCTGGGGGCTGGGTGCCAAGCTCGGAGCCTGGATAATGGCCCAATCAATGAGAAGTTATTTTGTTTTCAGGCACAGAGTGTACAAATAAAGAGCAGTTACAAGGGAGGTTCAGCCCGGGATGACACAATATTAGGTCCCTTTGAAAACGGTTGTCATTGCTTTCCCCCAGCGTCTCTCCTTTCCTCCTCGTTTCCCCTCCCCTTCCTTTGTTCGTGAAATTCCTATCGGAGAGTTGAGAGCTCAAATAAAAAGCCAGTGTGTGAGCAAGCCTGTGGGAAGATGCTCTCCAAGGGTGAGAGAGTGTTCAGTGGCTCGTGTGACCATCCGTGGAAATATTTCTAAGGGTGAGGGTATGTGTGTGGGTGTGGGGACCCGGTTAGTCAAGGTTTATCTGTAGTTTCTAGCTAAATAAGGCAGTTAACAGTCAATTGCAGAACACTAAACGCGTTAAGCCGGCATGATTTCAGGAGGGTGAAGAAAGGGAGACGGGCTTGGTGAGGTCATTTGCGGGAGTATCTGTGAGTGTTTGCACAGACACAGGCTGGTAAGCGCCACCCAGATACCCACGTCCTGTATTTTTCACTTCACTGGAGAAAGAAAAAGCCCACTTGATTCTCTTGGGAAACAGCAAGCTGTCTGTAAAAGAAGAGCAGCAATCATTCAGGATATTTCTTTCCTTCTTGCAAAAAAAAAAAAAAAAAAAAAAAAAAAAAAGGGATAATGGTTATAAAACATGTGTGGGAGAAAAGTAGACAGGAGGCCTACCCGACCCCATCCCTGGTTACCAGAGGAATTCTTTTGTTTCCTGCCTAATTCATTGCCTAACTTGTGACTGTTCTGTGGCCAAATTTGAATGCTTGCCTCCCAGATTTCTTGAATGCGGGGTCTTGTTCATCCTTTGACACCCACGGAGCCCGGCACACATCACTATGACAATGGGAATGAGGATGAGGGTGACCATCATCACCCTGACCGTCATCTAGAATCTCGAGATACTGACTCTATGCCAGGTTCCATGTCAAACACTTTACAAGGAGTTTCTTTGTGTATTTAATCCTCACAACTCCAGGAGTTAGTTTTTTATTATTATCATTTTAAAGCTGAGGGAACTGATTCTCAGAAGTTTTAAATCGCTTCCCCAAGGTGTGGTAGAAGTGGAGTTTGTATCTTTACCTATCTGCTTCTAGAGTCTATGTTTCCACTCAGGACTGATTTGAATAAGCACCAAGAAAGTTGCATACGAATATTTTCACCTATTCTTATTTCTTGGCTTGTTTATCCTCTATCTTCCAGAATGTGACATCCGTGGCCTCAATGGCCGTGCCTGACTTGTCCACTCTTGTGACCCCAGCACCCTGCACAGTGTATGACATACCGTAGGTGCTCTATAAATATGTGCTATTTGCTCAGTTTCTAAATTCCTTAGAAGGCTATGTAACCCCAGACAGAGGGCCTAACATTATCAGAGTCTCATCTTGGTTCAGACACATTTCTTTCGCTCTTGTGTGTTGTGTTTGCTTCCAGCTGTTTCTCTTTATCCAGTGTATCATGGAGCTGAAACTAAAGGTGGCAAAAACCATAGAGCAGCTTTACGTCACTTAAGAATTGTGGGATTTCTAGGAAGATGGCAGTGAAGGTAAACACAGTACTCACTTCCTCCCACATCCACATCAAAATTACAATTAAACTACAAAACGACCATAATTCAGAACCACCTGAAATCTGGCAGAAGGAAAGTCCTACACAGGGGTCTTCAAACTTCTCTCATTATGAGAATCACCTGGTGGAGGTGTTAAAACACAGATTCCTGATAGCACTTCTTATAGTTGGGATCCGGGAATCTGTGTTTTAACAACTCCACCAGGTGATTCTCATAATGAGAGAAGTTTGAAGACCCCTGTACAACTACCGAATTAAGGAAGAAGCCACCTCAAGATGGGTAGGAGAGTAACATCAGGGGAATGGCAGCATAAAGGTGCATCTTTTCCTCTGACATTTCAACAAGTTAGCCATCAAATAAATTCCTGCTCAACACAGATACACGCCTGAGAGACCCACGCACAGAAACCTCTAAAAGTGGGCAAAGGGGAATAAATGGGGAGATGAGAAGAGAGGGCGGCCCGCAGACACAACCCTGCAGCTGGCAGCTCGAGACTCATAGAGAACATTTTATGAACATAATCTCAAAGGCAAGGGAAGTAAAAGCAAAAATAAATGAATGGAACTATATCTATCGAACTAAAAAACTTCTGCACAGCCAAAGAAAATGACAACAAAATGAAGAGTCAGCCAACCAGATGGGAGATTATATTCCAACAAGGGTTTAATTTCCCAAATATATAAAGAAGTTGTAAAACTCAACAACAAACAACTGAATCAAAAAGTGGACAGAGGACCTGAAAATACATCTCTCCCAAGAAGATATATGAACTGCCAATAGATATATGAAAAGATGTTTAATCTCACTGGTAATTAAGGAAATGTAAATAAAAACTACAATGAAATACCGCCTCATGCCTGTTAGAGTGGCCATCTATATATATATATATATATATATATATATATATATATATATATATATATGTGTGTGTGTGGCCAATATGCATACTGTCCCCTCTCAGGTTCAACTGGGAGAATGGGAGTTTGATAACTTGCTATGATGTGTGCTGGCCACCAGGGGGCAGCCAGCAGTGGCAGTGGGGCACTGAGGGAGCAAGGGAAAGAGGAGATGGGGAGGTGGGGAGGTGGGGGGGTGGGGAGCAGGAATGGGGGAGGGGGGATTGCATGATGGTGGTGAGCACAGGTGGCAAGGGAAAGAGGAGGTGGAGAGGTGGGGAGGTGAGGGAACCTGATTGGCCCTGATCACTGGCCAGGCCTAGGAACTCTACCTGTGCATGAATTTCATGCACCAGACCTCTAATTATCAATAAGACAATCAATAACAAGTGTTAGAGAGGTTGTGGGAAAAAGGGAGCCCTCGTTCACTGCTGGTGGGAATACAGACTGGTATAACTATTATGGAAAGCAGTCTGGTGATTCCTCAAAAAATTAAGAATAGTCCAGCCAACATGCTCAATGGTTGAGTGTCAACCTATGAACCAGAAGGTCACAGTTTGATTTCCAGCCAGGGTACATGCCCGGATTGCAGACTGGATCCCAAGTGTGGGGCATGAAGGAGGCAGACAATCAATGATTCTCTCTTACCATTGATGTTTCTATCTCTCTCTCTCCTTTCCTCTCTGAAATCAATTTTTAAAAAATTTATTTTTTTAAGTTAATAATAGAACTATATGACCTATATGATCTAGCAACTCCTCTCCTGAGTATATACCCCAAAAAACTCAATCATTATTTGCAAAAGTATGTGCACTCCTAGTGTCGATTGTAGCACTATTCATGGTGTCCAAGACATAAAAACAACCAAGAGGACTGAATAAAGAAGATGTGGTACATATACACAATGGGATACTACTCAGCCATAAGAAAGGATGAAATAGCACCATTTGCAACAACATGGTTGGACTTTGAGAACATTATGCTAAGTGAAATAAGTCAGTTAGAAAAAAATAAGAACCATATGATTTCACTCATATGTTGGGATATAAAACTGAAACTCAGAACACCAATAGCACTGTGGTGGTTGCCAGAGGAAAGATGGTGGTAGGAAGTAGGGGATCTTTATATAAGGTGACTGTGGGTGGTGGGCACACAGTGCAATATACAGATCTTGTAACATAGAAACCCACACCTGAAACCTATATGTTCATGTTGACTAATGTCACCGCAATCAATTAAATAAGACTGATAGGAGGGGTGAATATGCAGAATGGGCTGGACTCACACCCACATGTGACAGATAAAAATTAGGAGGGATGTCTTGGCTGCAGAAGTATCCCCTGAGGAGCAGGGGTTTCCAGCCCCACACCAGGGTTCCAGAGCAGGAAGGGAAGTCTCCCATAATGTCTGGCTCTAAAAACCAGTGGGGATTGAAGCTGAGGGATACAGAGGCTATTAGAGTCCTAGGCAGTTCCTCTTAAAGGACCTGTACACAGACTTAGACTCACACTCTCTGACTCCAGAGACAGATAGGGGATTTCTCCTTAGTATCTCTTTTTGTTCGTTAGAGAGAAACATCTTTCTAAAAGCTACTAAAAAAAATTCCAGTTTTGTCTCCTTGCTGAAAGCTGAGCCAAATGACCAACACATTGGTTAAATCCATCATTTGCAAAGAGGAAGTGAATCAGGTTGATCGTGGTTCATTTCATGAGTCCAAGAGAAGGATCCACCTTCTCCAGACAAATTTTGTGGTATGCGAAACTACATAGGATTCAGTTAAGAGAGAAGTAGAAAAATGCTACCAATAGCCAATCCAAAAAGGCCTTTAAAGTATGACAACCTAACTGCTTTATTGCCTGGCCACCAGTTTAGCCATCACTACTTACGGGGTTTCACTATATCAGTTCTCTGTTTCTATGCACTTTATTTTTAATAATAATTTAAAAAAGTTTACTTTGGCTCTGAGCAAAATTAAAACTATTTCAACAACCCACAATTAAGGGAAGTAGCTGGTCACAGTGATTTTTTTTCTGCAGGTGTAGATGCTAGCTCTTTTCTTTTTAAAAATACTAGCGGCCCAGTGCACAAAATTCGTGCACTTGGGAGGGGTGTCTCTCACACAGTCTGAGAGCCATTGGGGGATGTCTGACTGATGGCAGGAGAGTGGGCCTAAGGCATCAGTCAGACATCCTTAGTGTTGCCGTGGAGGTGGGAGAGGCTTCCACCATGGCTGCTGCTCTAGCCTGAGCCTGGCTTTTGGCTGAGCAGCACTCTCCCTGTGGGGGCAGCTCCTGTATTGAATGTCTTCCCCCTGGTGGTCAGTGCACGTCATAGAGAACAGTTGAGTAGCCTTAGCAT